ATGAAAATTTCGTGCATGTGCATGATTGGACTTGCACGGTTCAAGTATGAAGTTTGGCAACAGGCTGAGTTCGTATGCAATATCAGCAAAAGAGTATGAATAAAAAAAGTTCCGTTAAGTGGCCACAATTGTAAGGATTTCAGATTTTAGACAGTCTTAAGTGCCTTAAGTGGCATGACTACCGTTAAAATATGCTGCTTTGATCAGTTTCAGTATCAGAATCCAAGTGAAGGGCATTCAATATTCGGACTAAAGGAAAGAAAAAAAAAAAAACAACTTTTCTGATTCTCTGTTTATGTTTCAAAGGAAATTTTACATTCAACCTTTTTGTCAATTTTCTTTCTTTTTATTTTATTTTTTTATTTTTTTTATTTTTTTTTGTTTTTTTTTTAATATAGAATCGAAACGTATGTTATTCATTGTAATATGAACTTTATTGAAAAGCTTGTGAATAAAATCCAGTTTTCAAATGCATTTCATCTCTTTATCTTATCTCTTTGTTTATTTTCCTTTTTCATCATTTTCTATTTATTGATTTTCTGAAAATACTAAGTATATTTGTGCATTTTCCTGTGCATTTATACGTCTATGTATTTGTGTGTGCATATAGAAAACTTGGAACAAAATTTTTACATTTTAATAATTTCTTAGTTAGCGTATGCAATGTCAAGAAGACACTCTTCACGAAGCATAAAGAAGCGCAAAATATTCGCATTTAAATAATTTTGAAATTCGTTCCCCCAATACGATCTTTTACTATATCTAATGGTTTACCTGCCAGTGTCATTAATTGAAAGTGCCTTATGCGGCTGAAGATTGATGAGACAAGCAATAATTCCCTGGTATTGATAGCGACTAATTTTTGAAAGCATTCATAGGCAGAGAAGGCAACTTAACAGAGTGACGTGTTATGCTATGGCAAAACTATCATCAGTAGGAGCAACTAGAATCATCTTTTATTACACTAATCAAATGAAGATCACTTTCTGAATCCATCTAAACTTGTCTGCCCGCCTAAGATCTCTCAATGTATTTTTGTGTGCACATTACATGTGCTACATATGCTTTGTTGAATTTGATACACTGGCACATGAAAATGCTCTTTCGACCACTTCCCATATAAAGCCTTATTTACATGGGATAGGGTATTTATTTCTATAAATACATTCTTTCTAAACTCTGCACATAACTATGTCTGAATAGTCTTTGAATTTTGTAGAAAAAAACTCCACTATCCGAATATTCACGAATAGGAACAATACAATACGAATCTAATCTCAGGAAAATTAAGATGAAAAAGTAAATCGCAAACAGGCGGTTTACGTGCCAATACTATTGAAATAAAAAAAAAAAAGAAGAAAATGAGAATAGAAAACATGTTTACTGTCATTCTTCTCTGTACGGCTTATGTTATCGCTTGTCAGTGAATTCATAACTTTATCATGATATCGTAGATAGAGTAGCGCGGCCTTAGTTGTTATGACAATGCATCTGCTATTGCTTTATGTCATTGTCCCAACCAGAAGTAAGGATTGATTTAAAAATTCAAGAGGCAGCAATAGCAGCAGCATTAGTAGTAGTAAATGTACAGTGGCAACATTACGTCGCCCATACCAAGTTCAGTTAATGAGAAACTAATTTCAAATTTTTGCTAATTTTACACTGAATAATTTTAAAATTTATGTAAAACTTGTAGCTAGATATACTTGATTGCCAGCCACTCCACTGCGATATGCTCTGCAATAGTTTGGATTTCATGGAGAATATATTAGAACATCACACATTCAACGAATCTCCGGTCTGACATGGTAACGTTCTTGACGGACTCATAATTTCTGAATAGTATTGACTAACCTTCCGACGACGTTTATCAAAATTCTATGACATTCTCACCATTAGTTGATAAATTGCAGTCGTTTTAGTGACTCTAGTTTTTTGGTCGGATTTGTTAACGGATTTCATCCGTTGTTGTCCACCTGACTCATTGCCCATTTGATTCTGGAGTATAGTGAGGGTTCTACATTTCATTCATTGTCGCATATCGCCTAACCAGGGCCAAACAACATTCTATAAGATCGACAAGCAAACACGATACCTATGTCGAAGAGACCTTTCTTGTGAATACTTGCTCATGGCAAAGAAAATATACACTTCCTTCTGATGTCATTACGATATTATCTATCTGGTGCCACTTTACTTTTCGGTCTTCCAAAACGATTTTTTGCACTTTTTTTATGGCTTCTTGGAGCAAATGCCTATTTCGGGCAGCCAGAGCGGCTGCCCAGGCCAGTTGCGATTGTGAACCGTATTTTTGCTCATCAAGCAGCTGCGTTCCTGTGATAAACACATTAAATGCAGATTTTTCCATTGTTTTGAAAATTACAAAAGTGACGTCACTTGTAAACCAATGATCGGAGTTGCATGGAATTTTGTTACGATATCGTTCGAAGGATGCTGCTATCTAAAAATCACATGGATGCGTCAATAGTGACTACATCTTCAGATCATCTTGCGATCTTATTGAATGATGCCTTATACTATCTATAGAGGGTGTGACAATTTAAAACAGGTACCTAAATGTTCGTTTAAAGAAAGTAAATCGTTTATTTTTTGCTTATTTTATGATGAATATAATGGCAGAGAAAAGTTAAGAAAAATTATATTCAGTGTCTCTACATATATACTTATTTATGTTCAGTTTATAAGGAAATCAAAACTAAAGTGAATACTTTCTAATGCATTTTACGTGTACCTGTCACATTTCCAGATCAAATTCATTTAACATCACATTTTTGGTGCTTAAGGTAGTAAGTCGTCCCACTTACCACTATATGTGTATGACGATACACTTCAAATCGTTCGTAAGCAATAATGAAAAAATATATGTTATGCTGATGAAAGCTCAATACGTGCTTTTAACTTATTAAATGTAATATAGGCTATAGAACGTACAAATGGGTCTTGATTGTATGGAAACCGAAAAAAAAAAAAAAAATCAATTTATCAAAAAATCATCTTATTTTCAATAAGACCATGAAAGGACTTCCGATGAAGTCCGGCATGATCGGCTACTTGTCAAACTTAAAAACTTCCCCTCAACTGCAATGTGTTTGCTGCTTAAACCCTATTTGCCAAAGATTTCTATGTTAGACTTGAAAATTATAGATTGACTATGTATAAAATTGAAGTTGAAGGACCCCGAAGTACCGTTGTAAGTCCAATACTTTATACAATTCTCTGCGAATATCTTAACAGCGACAAATGACGCAGATGACCCCTTGTAATGCATAAACTAGAAATTCTTCTTAACAAAATTCCGTTTTGGCTGAATAGATGGAATGTTAAAAAAAAGCGCTGGAAAATCTACGCATATCATATTCGCAGTAGAGAAGCATTCTTCTTCTTCATTATTTAGGCATTACTTTGATTTGATTTATACATTGACCAAAGATTAGTATGGAGAAACCATATAAATGCTACATGCCAGCAAGTTGACCTAAAACCCGTAGACAGTACTGGCTGATTTGCTTAGCATCTCAACTTATCGGAGCCAGCTGGTAACTCTAATGTGAAAGTTGATTAATAATGATGTGGTTTTTCCATATGTTAAAAATCGCATTCAACACGTTTCTTCAAGATATCTTATCGGACTAAGCGATTACGTGAATCCGGTGTCAATATCTCTTCTACATGAATCGAATGAGATAGGAGGTTCCAAAAGCCATGATATATGAAATGTTCCATTGAAGAACCAATTTATTTTTCTTCTTTCTATAACGTCTGTTATTCTCCACATCTTGCCATGACTTTTGGTTGATTAAACGTTAAATAGGTAATAAAAAGAAATAATAATTATGACAATAATAAATAATTATTAGAGACAATTTTTGAAAGTTCTAGTATGCAGTCTAAAAGGTCGTATGTCTGTTTAAAGCCTTTTAATTTTGGGTAAAAAAACGAGCCCGACGTTAGGCGAACTTCTATTAAATCCATTACCTTTGTTGAGGACCGTAAGGAATTTTTCTTTTGTTTCATTTTAATCTGTTCATGTTGTTCATGTTACGCTTAAACTAAACTTATTTTTATCTTATTAACTATATACACTTGTTTACAGTTACTGTGTAACTAATCCAGATTTCCACAAGACGTTGAAATTATAAATAAAGAAGTCACGTGAGAAATATTGATTTATAAAACGTTGCTCGATAAGTTAACTATTCTGCAGCGATCCGCGTTAGTGCACCGATACACGGCTGATATCGTCTTATTAGGCGATTGTTATGTGTGTGTGTAAGCAATTCTGTAAAGGGTCCTTTAAAGCCGGGGTGGACAATTTTTTCGGGGGATCCGGTGGGGATCGGAACAAGTTCCAACTATTATTAAAAATGTTGTCTTCCGCATCAATTTTCCTTTTGTTTAAGTCGCTCGTTTTCTGTCCTAATTAATCAAAAAACAGAAAAGCGCACTTAAGCACGTTTTGTATTTGAACTGGTAGTGAACTTGGATATAATCCATTTGCGGTATTGTGATGAGCGAGCAGATTGAATTATTTGAAATTTCAATCACGGCATGGTTTGCATGCATCCCGCGGGCCGACACTTATCCGTGCCTGCCTTAACAAGCCAAATCGTCTTCTCATGCTGTGACGTTTGTATTAAGCTTCAGTTGAAATAATTTCCGATCGAATAAATATTTAAAGGTTTATTACACTTTTTCGCGGCAAAATACAATCCACTTTTACTTGAATGCACAGATTTTATTATTAATCGATTACGTGGAAATTCGGTTTTTTTACACATTAATAATTACGATGGAGTCACTCACATATTGTTTATACCCAAGTTTCAAGTTTACCTTAATATCATTCGAAAAACTGATATTTTCAACTCCTTGAAAGAAAATCTTATGAAACAAACCCGTATATATTTTTGAACTACAAATCACTTTTCTATTTGATTGCTTCATCCACTAATAATAATATGTAATGTTTCACTTTACAGGTAACACGCTTAATAATATTGTTCATGCGATAGTTGCACTCATCGACTGCGGACACCAATAAACCGAAAGTCACTAGCAGCCGGAGCAACAGAAGCAGAAAATGATTAAATTCGTTAAAATTAATTAACAAAAAAAAAAAATTACATTTTGAAAAGGAATGAATCATTCATTATCAACATAATGAATTCACTTTTACGGTTTACGGTCAGTTAATACTTTATTTAAGTGAGCAATCAATTTAACTCATTTCTAATTTAGTTTTCAAATCAATATGACAACCACATAATGGATTACTTCTTTATTTATTTATTTATTTATTTATTTTGCTTCAAATCTTTAAAACGAATATTTAACAATTAAAACATTTCAAAAAAAAAGTGCAGAAAGAAAGACGATCAAAAAGGAAGGAAAGGATAATAATGAATGCTTATTAACATAAATATCATATAAACCGATGCGTAATAAAATCATGCCACGCAGTTCATAATTCCTTTAAATAGTTATTGAATTATAATAAAACTTAAAATGTTGCCAACAAATGTGATGACTTTTATGAAGAAGGTAAGTGAAACAAAAGATCACGAAGATCTACGCTCACTCTCAACTCCACGATTTATATTTTATGTAAAAACATTTTCAATTGAGATTCAATTCATTTATCAAATCACTCAATGCGTCCTCGGTCTGACACATATACGGCAACAATTGTTGACAGACGTATACAATTTCCGGATAATACTACTCTTTAAACGATGCGTACCAATATTTCATGACATTCTGACAATTAATTTACAGATTACAGTGACGTTTATGTTAATATTTTTTTCAGTCGCGTTAGAGGGCTTTCGGCACTCGGCTGACTGCCGATTTGGCTCTTGAATCTAGTGGTGAACTCATGCTGCATCAATTGTCACATATGGCAACTTTGACACGTCTCGCTTAAATGCTCGTACTATCCAAATATCATATATGCGTCTGTCAACAGGGTTATCATATATGTCTGATCGGACACTTATTGAGTGGCAATACAGACAGTATTTCATTGCAAACGTTTCAAATATTTAAAAATGTTTTTTTTTAACTGAATTTTTAAAGGCTATACGAAAGAAAGAAATTCTAAGATTGAAAGTAGGTGTGGCACCAGGAACTAAGACTATTAGTGTTTTTTTTTTTTTTTTTTTCAAGGGATAAAGTAGATGATTAGTCCAGTCACTTTGGCGAAGCGACTTTATATTAAGTTCTCCACGTACTTTCAAGATATCCGTAGGATTAGATGTTTTGAATACAAATCTCCGAATATTGGAAAGCTTTCGCCACGTGTGTGTAAAGTTTACGTGTAATCGTAAGATTTTATCGGCAACTGCAAACTAGAGGAGAAACGCATTAATGTGTTGCAATGGTAAGACGAAGGCGAATTCCTGCAAATATTTTGATCTTGACTTTCCCGACATTGATTCGATATAGTGGTGGAACAACATAAGGTAACATGCCAGTGACGTCAATGAAAGTATTATCGCTTTTTGCTTTTTTTTTTTCGTCAACTGCAATTTTTCAAACTCTAAGTTCACATTATCAGAACGGAAAGATTGCATAACTTACGATCTACACTAAACATCTGTGCAAAATTAAGGAAAAATAAACATCAAAGTCTCCCTCACCCTATATCTATTACTTTACCTATTACCTCAAGCACTAAGCACTGCTTATCAACTAGTGTCAGCAATTTTGATATATATTAAAAAATTACCAGCAGATATTTACCCAATAACTGAAACTAAATACGCTACAGCTATTTTACCTATATTACGTCAATATTATGACGAGTTGGGCAAATAAAAATTTCATTTTAGCTAAAGCAACATATTAATGCGTTTTTATATATAGGTATGTGTATATGTATGTGTATGCAGTGAATGAGAAACAAAAATCATTCTATATTAATAGGTTTTGCAATATTTCTATGAATTATTGCCGAGAGGAGAAAGTTTCATTTATATTCATAAATGCAGATATATGTATTAATTATATGTAAATGCATGACATGCACACGTCCATTACATCGAAATGAATTGATATGCATTCGAAGTGTTTTCATATTTTATTCTCCATAAGGTACAATTTTAACATACATTATTAACATTATTGTTTACATTTATTATGTGAATGTTTCTCTACACATAGTACGAAAATAAATGTTTTCTTAAAGTCAATTTCCAATATACTTAATGGCCTTTTGGTTTTAAAAATTTCCTGCATAACTGATGTCTCGTAATACATGCGACTGATTCTACAATCACCCGGCGAAGCACAGAAACAGGCGTCCCTCGTATAACGCGTTTAATTCGTTAAACCGTCTTATACGAAACGTTTTTATTGATTTACTCAAAGTAGAATAACGTAATTTAAATCAAATCAATCTATACTATGTTATGTCGAAAGCTCGTTTTATGTTATAGGAGAGTTTACGACAATATATGCCAAACGACAATGTATGTCGCTTTTATATCGAAACCAAGGCTTAAGGTGTAAAATCTTATGATAGCTGAAATTTCCTTCCAAATAAACATATAAATGAAAAAAAAAAAAAAAAAAACTAAATAAATGAAATTCAACACAGAATTAATTGTCATCTATCCTAGTTATATATATTTTTCTCTTTCCCAAAGTTGCTTGAAAGATCTCTCCATTGGCACTGTTATCGCAAAAGTTATTTACTTGCAACGATCTTGGAATTCAGTAGGAATTTCTGAGCAAGCCGGTGAGGAACTTTACAATTCACTTTCAAATTTTCCTCTACATACTACCGAAGGATCTTGTTCAACGAAAACTGTTTAACCTTTTAGCTAAAGCTTTTCATTCTTGCGCAGATCAATTAAGTGTAAATGAGAAATCGCCTGAAAAGCTTATCACTTTTTTGCGATATTTATTACACGTTTTCGGGATACACGTATTTGCACCTTGGGTACATTCAGTAGCGACTTTTTTCCTAATATTTCTTTCATATAATATCTTGATTGAAACTTAATGCTCGATGAAGACCACATTCTTTATACTCTTTTCACACAACTTTGCAATTTTTCTTCGAATGAAATATTGATATACTATTAATGAATTTTACGGTCTCAAATTACATTTACCGTAGACGTTACAACTTAATGTTTTACATAACTCAAATTAATGCACTTGTGAAGTTTCAAAAGAAGATTATCGCTTATCGGATAATTTTTTCTTACTTTTCGTTATTCATTTTGCAAAATGTTAAAAACAAAAAAAGCAAACACTTTATCAGCTTCACTTGCAAAGCATAGATCGGACACTGTCACTTTTCAAATAGAAAATGAGAAAATTTGTTAGAGTTCTACTTATTGAAAGCAACTGAAAATGGAATCCGCCTGAACACCTGATATATTCAAGATTTTAAAGTCGCGTTACATCAGACACTTTGGTGTATCGAAACTGCATTACCCAACTTTCGCGTTTTACGAGAGACGTCTGCTTCAAGGTCGATTTTAATAAACGACTCAAAATAGTTTACCACAAACCAGATTCTTTAGTTTACTAATTCCCACACTCATAGTTTATTACGTTGTCTTATATAAATCAATGTTATAAAATGTGTGCACAAGCGAAAGAATGAAAACCGAATTCAAACTGTTGCCTATACATGCTTGCTTAACGCTTTCGCAAAGACCTTTTTCATTCATACCATACACGCTATTATACAAAACGAGTGCTTTCTTATAGCGGACAAAGGCATTATACATTGCTTTATTATTAACTTATTTTTCCCTTACATCGATGTTCGTTTGCTCTAATCAGTTTGTAACGTACCATAGACAAGGGTATAATTTTTCGTTTGATATTTGGTAAGCGAAAACCATAATTATAAACAAAAAAAATTGTCATGAAATTAAAACTTGATCTCGTTTACAGCCCATTACTGTTAATAAAATTATGAAAAAATTAAGCATAAGCAATAAATGATAAAGTTACAACAGACATAACAATATGCATACACGACCGAAGGGATCCTACAAAAAGAAGAAAAGAGAATGTTTATGTTCCGTTTGCAAGCAAGGGAGGCTTTCCTTGTACATAATCTGTAAATAAATACAAATTGATAGTAAGATTAACATCACAACGGCAGGCAATCGTAATAATAACAATTTTTACAGTTTACAACGTTACAACATAGTCTACCTATATTGTCGACTTTTTCCTACAATATCGCAAACGAATTTAAATTCAGGTTTAATAACTTAGCGTAGTGTGTTATATATAAATAAATAAAGAGGGATTTGTTAAACTATATTAGCGAGTTCAAAATTGCGTTAACACTTTAAGATGTCTTAAAGGAAAACGCTAACACACTATTGACCCAAATATGATATTTTTCTTTTCATTTGAGTTTACTTACTATAAATAAAAAAAGCGATGATATCACTGCTTGCCTGTAAATTTACGTAACACGAGAAATCAACTTAAGCAGGATATATGTTAAAATCAAAATCAAAGAAACCATGTCCTGAGGGAAATAGTAATTTATGTTTGTGCAAAAATTACTTCCTGCGTTATATTGCTTTACACCTACAACGCAAATAGAAAACAGACGTGCGCGTACTCTAGCGTATTCAAGTAAGCGAAAGAGCAATTTAACCTTAAAAAAAAAAAAAAAAAAAAAAAAAACCTAGGAAAACAAGAAATCACAATTAAGGCACAATCTTCGGATGAGTCTTCAATATCGATAATTGTAGAGTTTCCATCGATTGATTACATCCAGATCAATATTAGTCGATTACGTGTTTCGACTAAATGCCTGGCAGGGAAAAATATTTCGCATAATAATTCAATTAAATTGCCAATTGGCTCTCTCTGTGTTCGTCGCCGTTTACGTAGTACTTTTCAAAATTTAAAGCAGTTAAGAGTAAAATCTTCACTTCTTCTTATTTTCCATTTTTCTGTTTAACGAACCCGCTTTCTTCCCATTTATTTAAATAGCATATCTCTATTGTTATCATATAGCTCTTATTAAGGGACAATAACCTTTGTTACGTTCACTGATTGATTACCTTTTTGAATAGTTTGTACATTGAATGTGTAATAAAACAAAAACGAATTAAAAAAAAAATTGAATAAAAGAAGAATTTATATAACACATAACGTCATATGCAGCGGATTGATTGAACGGGCAGAACGACGAAACTATGTCAACTTTTATTTGCACCCAAGTATACCGCCAACACTCCGTTAGGTACTTCTGGAATCTACAAACACATTCACCGATCGCCGTTCTAATAAAACGACTCTTGTACTCTAAACCATTTCAGGTGGAAAAATATTGTAAAATTCTACCTTTTGATTACATTCTACTTTTGTGAGTGTACAAGCACACATTTGACACTGAAATGTAAATAAAACGTTAGCCTAAATCTGAAAAGTAATCAGACGTATTTGAAATTCCTGCGCAGCTGTAGTTAAAAGTGATGGAACGTTGAAATGTTAAAATAACTGACACCTTCTTTGTGAACTCCTTCAACGCTGTCAACGTTGAGCAAAATTTTAAAAATAGAAAAACGTCAAGTAAAATGTTTCTTATTTTCTTCCACTCTCACACACATACACACGCTCTCTTTTCTTCTCCATCCCGGTTTTGCCCACTCATTCGCTCGTTCTCGTTCTCTCTCTGTCTTCCTCTCTCCTTGTTGCAATTGAAGGAAATCCTTTAACACATAACCGTCATAAGGTATGCAAAAAATATTCGAAAGAATATCAGCCGTAAGCAACAAATCTTGTTTTTTCCCCATTGGTAATCGTTATGTGAAATCATATATCGAAAAAGTTCTATTTTTAAAGAAATATTTTTTAAAACGCGGAACATAACTGTCGTTCTTCGCACCGTTCAACACACGAATTTAACAAAAAAAAAAAAAAACCAAATGCAATGCAATGAAGCAAAAATCGCGCAAAAACAGATGAAATACTATTGCAAGCACAGGGAAAACGGTATCTGCATTGAACGATTGTTAAAATCGTAAACATTCAAGATATTTAACGTTTAATTACAGGTGCGAAAAAGAGTACTGAAGCTGTATGGAAGTGACTTAATCATAAAGAAATAGAGAAATATGGTGCCAACGTACTGGAGCTGCTAAACGTTGCAAGGTCCGTAAGCAAAATACCGCCTTAAAGACATCGTCCGTGCATCGCGAGTGACAGCCGGACATTGATGGGATACTGTAATGTTCGATTTTTGATGGCAATGCATGATGAATGAATGAAATGATGATATGAAATGGAAATTTTGCAGCTAAGCCTCAAGTTGAATTTCAAATATTCACAACATTCATTCAAGATTCAAGAGGATGCGTTGAAAAAAGTATCAGCGATTCACTACGGCAATGCTTGAGCACATGTTCGTCACAAATCGTTCGTTTAATGTGTATCGTATGGTGATTGCTTCTTTTGCCGTTGGGTATGTCAGTATACCAAACACCTACCAGTCGAGCAGGCACCCACCACGTTGTGCCCACTCCTTGTGTTTTTCTCTTTGCTTACTTCTTGCTGACATCTACCTGGTTACACGTACAAGGGCATTCCATGATATTATAATGGAAAAAAAATATACAAACAAACAAACAGACAAAATACTTGATATTAACCCTAATACGCAACAGCAGCAAATTAATTAATTCGGTGGAACTGCTACATCTATCATGTATTTATTGAGGAAACTTTGCGATAAATATCTTGAAAAACTTGCATAAAGGCATTGCATATTCATACTTCAGTTCTATCGTTGTGTTTGATCTAAGCACACCTCATTTTTCTTACAAATTTTATAAATAGTTATTAGAGAAACACAACTTTTTAACATTAATTTCTTGTTACGAGTAGTTTTAGAAAGCAAAGATTTTACTTGCGCAGCATATCGTTGTTTATGTGCTCAAAGACTGATTCGTTTGCTATGGCGATTTCGAATGCAACTAAACGTAAAATAACTAAAGCCACTACTGGCTTTACCTCTTCTAACTTACGGCTGTAACCGGCTTTGAAGTCCAATTTTCGCAAATAAAAAACTATTCAAAGTAAACAACGCAATATGTTAGATGTTAGTTAACCGTCGAATTTGTACGTTTTCTACTACATGCTACTACACGATCTTTACGTTTAAAAGGTTTTCACCACCCGGTTAAGAGAAAGCTGAATACTCCATTTAGCAAGAATGCGAAAAGTCCAACACCGCGACATTCAAAGATTTCCAAATTTACGCATTCATAACTTCTTCGTTTAAATATTTATATAAGATCTGGCCCGAACTTTATTATTGTGAAACATAATTGTTTACCTCATTATGAATTGTGTTTTTCGAACAACTTTTTTCAATTCAATTTGTTTTTTTACCTGTGATGTAAACTTTATGATGTAAATTTTGGTTAAACTTTTTAAAGCCAGTAATGCAATAAAAAATCATGATATGAAATAATGAAATTATTTATTGAAATTTTTATATGCATTTATTGTTCTATAGATTTTGAAAAAAAAATTCATTAAAAATAGCTTTTAATCCCATCACCCAAGAATGACAGATATATTCATTTTGTCAAAACGTTTGGAACGCCGCGAAGGAAGCATCAGCGACCCCCAAAAGTATACATATTCTTGACCAGTATCAAATTGTAAATCGATTTAACCACGTCCGTCTGTCCGTCCATGTGTTCTTTGTTGTAAACATTTTCCTGTCCGCATTAGCTAAACTATCGACACAAATATAGAAAGTCCTTGCACATAGTAATGGTAGTAAAAATGGGCCAAATCGGTCGAAGGACACCCCCAACAGCACCACGTAAATTGAGAACACCTCTGTTTTTCAAAAGGAATGAAAAATTAGCTTTTTGCGCATTACTCATAATCTATAGCGAATAAATGTACAAAAATGTCAACGCATATTCTATGGGCGATGTTGTAGCATTTTTTTGCAAAAACAGAAAAAATAGATCACGCCTCTCCAATGTTACAGTGTATCAAAATTTAATTGTTTTTTCAATACATTTAAAGCGCGTAGAAACAGTAGCCTGAAAAACTCTTGGCCCATTACAACTCTTGAATGCACCTGAACATGTCCGCCTATTAGTCTGTCCATCTGTCTGTTTGCGCAACTTTGTAATATTTGTGAAGCTATCGACTACAAATTTGCAAAATAATTTGGAATTGATATAATATAATTATGAAAGGACATGCCTGTAACGCCCACATGCCTATACGATGGAAAGTTTTATTTTGAAAACAGAAAAAATCAGCTGCTCCCACTCCATATTATAGAACATGAAAATTTTGTTCTTTTACTTCGTTTGTCTTTCTTTTTTTTTTTTGGTGGGGCTAAACAGCGATGGCTATAATAGATTCGGTCACAATCAAATATAATTTTGTTACTTGTTTTAATTTAAATAATTAAGTTGAAAATAAATTCAATTTTGTACTTCAGCCCTTTTTGCATCGCGTGATTAGATTAAGTAATAAAATAGATTAAAATTTTATCAACAACGACAACAAGCTCTCTCTCTCTTCTGAAAATTCGTGACACGCAAATGTTATCAATAATCAATATTTCATCAAAAACTAATTTACAACACTCATTGCGTTACCAACCGTTTACGGAGGCGGAAATTTGGAAAAAGCATTTCCAGTATCAGTAGAGCATTTCCAGTATCAGTAAAAAAACAAAAGTTGCCTCTTTTCTCTCTTTTCAAAATGCTAAACAATTTTTACGATAGCAGGCACGAAAAATATAGGCTCGTGGTACGCGAATTTCAATAGAATTCTGGAGATATATGTTTTGTTAATTTAGTGCATAAAGTGTTATCTCCTTGCGTACTGAACATTTTTCCACATAGAGTTTTGTTGCTATTTCGGGAACAGTAAGAGTGGGTAAAATGTTTCTGATAGCTTTTAAACTTAGCGAAGAATGCAGAAGCATTGAAGTTGACAATCCCATCAGTTGAACCTGCTGTTCTCGCTAAATTGTCCTCGATTGCAGCTTTAAAATCTCTGGTTGGTATCAGACCGATTGAGCTCGATTTACGCTTTAAAGCTTTCCCTATTCTAAATACTTTTATGTTGTTTGTTTGTTGTTTAACAAAAAACCAAACAAAGAAGGATGAGAACGCGCTTTCTTTTGAAATATGCCAGTGGTAGAAGGGCTGATTCAGCCAAGTCCGTACGTCTGTCGTGTATTGTTGAAACGAGCGTAATTTATCGACAACAAGTAAAAGACTTCAACTTGTAAAGTATAGGAGACACTGATCTGAGCATCGAACTTAGCATATATAATACGTGTAGAGCAAAAATGGGAGTAACCGAGATAAACTGCAATATCTAATAATCAGTAACTGACGCTTGCTACAGAAAACAAATTTACATGTTATATACATTGATTTATGTTCAATTTACCGATCTACACTTTGCCCTGAATATCGATAGGTGTAATAGTAAGCGCGATTGTTGCATTAACTAGTTTAGAAAATTATTCATAGGATAATCGATATCTTTGAAAAACTGACCTCAAGAAGAGATGAAAATTTTTGACTTATCTTAGGCTGAATTAATTATTCACAACACAAAGTTGTGTACATTGTTTGCAATGAACCGTCTAATGGATTGAATATCGAGTAAAATTAATTCATCTTATGTTCTGAATCTGAAACTTACGCAAGCTTTGTAAGTTATGCACAATTTTTATACATTCCCTTGGTTTTACAGATGGTAGCTACCGATGAGACTGCCTCCACGCAAACCGCACCTGACACAGGCGGCACATTCGGAAAGCTGAAACAAACTTTGTCCACATCACTTTTAACCGCACAGGATAGAGGTACATATCAATAATTATAATATTAATGTATCTTAAAAGAATTATTACATGAATAAAGCAGATCTAGAAGATCCAACTGCCTTGAAAAATCAATTACGTGCGCATATATTGTTTGTAAATGTAATATGTAATCAAATTGAAAGCAAAGCTATCATGTTAACCGATACCTTACCACAATAATTTAGTGAATTTGCTTTCAACCGGAATTTTGATTTAATATATTATTATATAAATACATTAGTATTAGCTCAGGCATTAATTGGTTTAATATTTCTTACCAAAAAGAAAAAAGCAAAAAAAAAAAACAAAAAAAAACAGAACGCAATTAATTATAATTACCCTTTAAGCTCAGCTTTCTGGTTCATGGCGTACAAAGTAGAGAAGTGCATCGCAGGTAGGCAAACCACAGTCATTTTGCCTTCCACGGCCAGAACGGTAAAGCGTAGAAGAAGAAATACTTTAAAGCTATCATGTAATTTTCTCTATTTTTGTTGTTACCTGACTTACTGACATAATGCATGCATAACGATGAAATATGTCGGAGGTATTCATTACCTGACTTGACACATTAAATTACTATACTTTTAGAATAACAAGAAAGGAGAAAGTACAAGCAAAGCCGAACGGCAAAATTGCTGCTAGACAAACTTAAGTAATTTCAAGAAAAGATAACATAAGCTTGAACACGTCGACTATACTCTGAGGAAAGGCACTTTTGCGATACGGGAAGTGCAATGCATGTGAAAAGGAATTGTCGAAGTACCTGCCTATACTACTATTTGGTATACTCCTTAACAGTCAAGTAGATAAAGACAACCATATGTGCCACTAAGCAGAAATATCTATTCTCATGTATACGTGCGAGTTTAGTGATGCACACAGGCGTGCACACATTTGTGGCTCTTAGGTTTATGTGCAGATGACATTCCACGGCAGACCACATAAACTAACACCATTACTAGCTACGAAAGTATGGCACGTACTTACGAGGAAGCAAGGCTTCGCTACATATATATATATATATATATATATATATTCTTTTTTTTGGCAAGCAGCTAAATGCAAATTTTAAATTACTTTTAGTGTATATCTACCTCGTCTAGGACAAAACCGTAATTTTTTAATTTCTTATGCCTTAAGTAGGTGCTTGGCATTAGGTATACCAAAAAATAAAGACCCATATAAAAAAAAAAAAACAAGTAAAAACGGTATAGCGGGTCATTCCTTAACATTAAATGCCCTACATCACCCTATAATTATTCATGAACGGTCTTTTCAACATATGGCATTTGTGCTTAGGCCAAAACACGTCGGCGTACCAAATTCCTTAAAATAACTGAAAAATTGCACCCTGAAGATTTGCCACAAGAAGCAGGACAGATAGACGGACAGATAAGCTTAAATCGATTCAGAAAATATATCTCAATCTATCCGTGTAATAAGAGATGAGATATGTGTTGCGTACCATTCATACAAATTTAATATGTTCTTGCACCACAAGTGGTCCAAGGTACGTATGAGTAATGAATTTTTCTTAGATTTCGTGTTATATATACATATATCAATAAAAAAATGAATATGATATAAGAAAAACAACTTATTTCTTTTAAAAGAATGCATTATGTGATGAAATTTATGCATGTTAATAATGTTGAAAGAAATCCTTTTATTTATATTACAAATCTTTGCCGATCAAAGCGCTTTGATACTCTTACCAATCGTACTAGAAAAACTAATTAATTCGGCATACCCTGATACGTTTAATGCTTGCTCGTAACTGTAATGATTGCTCGGCATAACGCTAATCAATGGACCATATACCTTTTAGACTGCGGACTCTTTCCCTCTTCCTCTCTTCCCAACTTTTCCTGGCTAGCATCGTATTAAACGGAAAGATCACGCAACTATGATTGATCGATCACATGAAAAGAATGAAAAGCTACATACAACAAACCTATTTTAAGCGGAATGAATAGAACTTCATACGTCACATTCTACGCTTGCAAAATGATAAAAACGGAACTGGGTTTTAACGAAAAATGCGTCTTTCGAATAACACAAACCCTGTCGCAATGTCCACATGACAGCGGTAAGATGGCGATCGATAGCTGGCGCTAATAAAATTCAAATGCTGATGCGGTCATCCTAATGAATAATTTTGTTAGTTATGTAGGGATGTTCGCGTTATATATTTCACAGTAACGAACTAAAAAAAAATATTTGTATAAAAATTGAGCAAAGAACATTTTGATGAGTAAGCTGTAGACATATCTAGCGCTACGCGTTTGCCAGCGTTCAGTTATAGAACCATCAGCGTGAACTCGATAACCGTTGGATTGTTCGAACAACAGGACACGGCGACTGAAGTCAGTCCATAAATAACAAAACTTCGTATCTCCTGATGTTAGGAGAAAATAGGATTTTATAGAAAAGTCAGACAATCGTGTCATGTGCCACTGCTTAAGGGCTGTGCCGACCATATCAGTAATTTAAATATTGTATTAAAATTTATATATCCCTTGAATATGGTATGTAACGGGAAAAAAAGAAGAAAAGAAACGCCGGCACTTTTAGCTCTGTCACGTTGTTAACTTTTATCTCAATGTAAAGCAAAGGAAAGAAAAAAAAGTTAATGGTAGCCTTGCGTATACGTGTGTTTGTTGAGTTATATATTTTTCAGAGGCTTAAAGGTTTTAAGTGAATGAATGCACATTCACTTATGCCATGAAAAGGTTTGCATGTATGAATTAACAGCTGGTATGCGTACCTCGGAGGTAACGAACGTTTAAAATTTCCCACTTCAACTAATGTATGCTTCAGCAATCCTTTTCTACAACATTAATGTTTTCGTTACTCTTAATGGCTTTCTCGCCATTCGACCATTCCCAAGCCGCTCTACTTTAGTCACTCGGTTTCTTTCTCTTCTCCGATATTTCAATGTAATAACTTTTCACTTAAGAAAGCTTGGTGCGAAAATTTTACGAAAAACGTGCGGCCAAACAATTTTATCATAAATTCAGTCATTTCTGACTGGGGAATAAATTTTCGTATCCACCGTTAGAGCATTGAGACATTTTTTTGCTTTCCGTTGTACCTATGCTGCGCTACATGCACTCTTGACTATCGTTGAATTCTGACTAAACTAAAATCTTGGTCATCTTTTGCGATATCTCTAGTTATAGTTTACTCTTTAGTTGTTAGACGAAGTAAGTGAAATAGAAAGTTAAAACGTATAGATAAAGTGTGATGAATATATTCAAGAGTCTTTTAATGGGCGTACTCTAAAACCAACAAACAAAAGAAAAATAATTAAATCTGAGTTGAAGATTACAATTATCAATAACGGGTAATATATCGATCATAAGTTTAGTATAACGCTTTGTACTGATTGTATGAATATTTGTTTGGGTTTGATTAAAAAGAGTAATAAAATAAATTTTAAGGAAAATTCCACCCGAATAAAATGCATGCACTTTGTAGGGAACCAGGCGAGGAACTTATTGAAAGAAATATATAATATTAGCTGCAAATCTTTGTCAGTCCATACAGTACATGAAAATAGTAAGAGTTTAATTTGTGTTAACCGATACACATATGAACGGATAAGTAATAATTGCTTTAATTATTAAAAGAGTATTCCATTCTATTTTTGTGGTTTTGTCTTGCTTTACAAACATACGCAGTAAATAAAATGTCACCGAGACCATCTTTAATACCCACTGATACTGACAGCACTTATAGTGGTTATCAACAACAACAGCCTCAGCAACAGGATGCTTCTACAAATCAAAACTATAACAACAATAATAGTAATGGGACGACAAATGCTGGGAAAACGCAAAATGAACCTGGTCGTCGAGCGGGAGCTTGCCGGGTGTGTTTAAAATCTTTCAAGCCCGATGACTACCACAAAACTTGTTTTGAATGCCAGCAACGCGTATGCGAAGACTGTGCCAGTTATAGTAAACTGGAAGAAAATGAGGATGCGGTAAGTTTCCATATGAAGCGTTTGAATTCTGAGTTTATATTGCATAAAGCTTTTGCACAAGATGCTTAAGATAATATGTGATTAAACAGTATTATCATAGAATTGTATTTATAAAGTGTTTCTGTACAAGGAATACAACAGTACAACATTTATTACGATCTGGTTTTATTGATAAATCTTACTTGAAGTTAATCTTTTAGTGCAACTTAGACATGAAAACATATTTGCCGGACTACAAGTTTATTTAAAAGTGAAAGAGAGAGCATTGCCGACCGCAAGCAGATAACAATTAAAAGCAGCAGTTGCTGCTGCTGCCGCTGCTATTCATAAAGCCATGGACACACACAAACAAGTCGTTGAAACTAAATAGGGCAACTATACGTGGCTTATAGCAAACGGTACTCTACGTACGATCAAAATTCTTGGGTACTGCGTAGCAGCAAAAAAAGAAATTAGAAAATATTACGGTGTTCCTCAGTATAGGGATTAAGTAAGCATTTAGTCCCGTAACACTAAGATTATAATAACGTTTCTTAATTGTCTATATTCCGGATCTTGTGAAATTTCTACTAAGAAATAAATAGGGAAAAGGATAATATATATAATAGAGCGAAGAGTCGCCGAATCTAAAATTGCCAGAAAGTGCAACAAAGCCGAAAGAAATATTTCAAAAGCGATATATTATCGATATATCGATGCTAAAGCAAGATATGTTAACATGGAAAAATTATTAAATTATTAATAATTAGAATAGAGACTTAAATATATTGACTTTAAAAAAAAAACATTTGCTTTCTTCTTCTACTTTATATGATGATTGATGATATCTTAATCGCAGGATTATTTGGATGCGTTAAATAGTGGCACTTAAGTAACGTAAGAAACATTCCTTTTGGAACCGTTATCTTTCGGTCGATTTAACCATGCCCCTCTTTTTTCTCTTGCACATTATGCAATACATACAATGAAAGTATGCTTTATGGCAAAGCAACTTGGCTTTTCCCCACACGTTAGATTAAGCGCACATATCCAGCTCAGGTGATAATATAGCGTAGAGGTCATTGAAGGAAAACATAATTTTTCGAAATTAATTTTAAAAAAAGGACAAATTTATTAATAATTTCACTGAAAGCAGGGCAGCTGTCGAAAAATGCTAATGTTTTTCATTTAACCTGTCTTGCCCCGTCATCGGGTAGTGAAAATCAAGAATTTAGTTTAATATCTACTGCGAACTTTTTTGGGAAAAATTTCCCAATTTGAAGAAAATCGAACACAGAATCGTTATATATTTAACAAAAAATTCGAGAATGCCAAAGAGTCTTATTTTGAAGCTACAGCTAAAGGCCGTTCAAGGCGATTCGATGAAAAATGAAGGAGCCGTCGGTATGATAGACTTGAGATATGTAGTTTCAAAAGGAATGCGTTTAAAATTGTAATATTGAATTTTTAAGAAATTTTCGTGATGCCTGTTTCACAGGCTAACCGGTTTCACACACTTCTTTCTAGGGGCGCAAATGCGTTTAAACTGTTTTCTTCTCCAATTACTATATGCACTTATTAAGTTATTCAGTATGCACAGGATAATAATAATAATAATACGCCTCTACGCTCCTCCCGAAACAATTTTTTGGGCGTGACGAAAAATGTATATCTAGCGACGGTTGATACTTTGAATAAAATATTTTTTGCATTTTCTAAACGAAAATTCCGCTTTCATGAGTGGTTAGCCGCTACATATATATACAGATATATATAGGCAAAGAACGTAAAATAACATAGACCCCATTTATAAGTAAATAAATGTTACGAGTTCCTAAGATAGGGCAATTAATTCTCTTTAATAATGAGTATTGCTTTGCAAATGCTTGAGAGACGTTTTATTAACGATTTTCCTCAGTTAACGTTTAAAAAAGTGCTCCTTGAAGACGAATGGCTTTGATATATAACAACTTTTTATCTTTTCAATTCAACAAGACTTTCGTTAACTCAGGCATAGAATTTTCTTATCTAGAAAACAATAAAAGATCGCATAGCTCGAACTCAATTTGTGAAAACGCAAGCATTAACATTTATACTAATACCCATCTAAATGAATCGAACAAAGTATGTGTACACAACCGCTTGCTTGTACGTTGTCTATTTGATCTATGCACAAAAATTCACGCCCACATTCTTGCACGCGCACATGAGCTGCACACTCATCTTTATGCACATTGTTCGCAACAGATGCGTGTTTAACGTACAAAAAAAAAAAAAAAAAAAAACACAAAAAGTCTATTAAAATATCAAATAAGGAAACTATAAACTTCGCAATTAGCCTGAAACATCTTAAGCCTAATAGGAGAAGTGTCGTTAGTGTTCGTGTTAAATATCTGAACATGAATAAAAAGAAAAGAAAAATAAAACCGTAAATAGAAAACCGATGAAAGGAAGAAATCTATAGACTTTTCATTTAGCTTTTTGTTAGTCCTTGAAATGTGTCCTACGATAACGTCTACAATGCCTTGGAACAAACATACATACATTTTCCTTTATTAAAAAAGGCTCCAAGTTTGATCAGAGAAAAAACAGAAAACATAAGTGTTCAGCGCATCAATCGCCACCTTCGGTCTTAAACGTGTTCATCCAAGCATATCTTTGTTTGCAAAGAAACGGTCAAGCGTCAAATGAGAGCTATTTAGGGAATACTTTGTCAATTCATAATTGCATTCAATCAATCAATAATTGCATTTTATAAGCCGTTATTGTCATGATAGCAAACGCTTCGGAATCGAACGGTTAATTTCTTTTTGTCTTTTGAACGTCTTTCGCACTTCTTTGCTTGAACTTTGCTTGTATTCTGGAAGATTCTAGGTCTAGGTCTGGGTCGAATGCTGTTTACTTTGCTTCGGTAATTATGCTTTTAGAGTCTCGTGGCTTTTCTTCCATGAAATCTTCACACGATCTTGAATTCATCGTAGCCGCATAGATGTCTGATAGTCGATCTTCATTTCCCGGCCACGTACACAATATCAACGCTTTATTATTAACAAAGAAAGCGATTTACATTGACCACTTACCACCACTTAAATTTACAATAACTCATTAAAACATTAATGAAACGAATTTTTATTCGATAACCACAAATTGACATAAGGTGGGCTATGCACAATTCTTATCGAAACTTGTGAGCACATATTGAACGACATGCTTCACAAGTTATTCCGCATTTTCAAAAGAGACAAGAAAGCTTCTCTATCACGTAACCTTAATTAATTACATATACGTATACAGTTTAAAAATTGTGGTACGTATTCAAAATTCGGGCATAGTTAATTTATACATCAAATTACTATTATGGATTAAGATTCATCATAACACATTCAAAGTTAAACTTTTCTGCTCTAAAAAAACACGTGAACGGTTCAAATTTAGTGTCGGTAATTTTTTTCATATAACGTTTTTTCAAAAAAGGGCGTTATAAGGGGAGTGATCGAAATGGTGGGCCGATCCAAACCATTTTCAATAGTGGCCGTCCAACTGGCTCACAACAACTTCACTGCAGCAAATTTTCATCAAAATATCTCAAAAATTTGTGGCCTATAGCTTGAGCACAAATTCACGCGGACAGACGAACAGACAGACTTAGAACGATTTTGGCAATCGTTCGGTATAACAAAAGGTGGGCCAGCACAAGCTTAATGCACCTTGTATCACAAGTAGGAAGGGCAATTATTGTGCTTCATTTCATTTCGCAAACAAAATTTATGGCAACTTCTTTGCTCAACAAAATCCCATTTTGTAAAAATCGGTAGAAATACTATTTTATCTATCCTGCAAAACCAAGCGCATGTGAAACACTAACAACGTTTACGATCGTGAAATTCGACACAGGTAACCTGTTGCAGTACTACCGATTTGGTAAAACAAAATATTTCTGCTATTCAATACACTCGCACAATTTACTTTTAAATATTGGTCTTACTTTTTGATCACGGTATAATGTTGTTTCATTTTTTTTTTTTTTTTTGCGCATCATTGCGCATGTAATAATGAATTCGAAATTTCTTGCAACATCTACACAGACTAAAGTTTTGGGGTGTAGTACAACATCACTAGCTTCACGGACGTTGCAATCAAAAAGAGACTAGCATAAGACGAAATTTAATGAATTTTTCCCATTGTTGTAATTTATGAATAATGAAGCAAGCAGCGATCGACCGATTTCGACGTATCTATGTGAAAGAACGTTTTGACCATATTCGAAGTCGATCATTTCGTTTTTACCCTTCAAAAGAATATTTGCCCAAGATATTACGCAGACGGACGGACGGACACGCTTAAATCATATCAAAATTACCTGTTGCTCAACAATTTATGTACTTTATAGGACTTCTAAGGCGCCTTGCCCGTCCGGATGTTACAAATTTTTTGATAATATGAATAAGTCGTCAAAACCTCTTGTCGGTGGGCCTAAATTATGTATCTAATAATATTTATTTACTGAAACGCATTGTAAATTAATAAATGAAAAAATCAATTAATTTAATTAGGGTGAGCTTGCCATGAAGTTTCTTATTTACACATTTCATTGCAATGGGTGTTGGGCAAATGCCTGTTTTCTAAAGCGAAAACCGAAGACATCCCATTGCTTGATGCTAATCGCTCTTTTTATGTGGTGTCGGCGTAGTTTAGGCAGTGAAGAGAATGAAAGCAAACAGACCTATATAAGGTTAGGAAAAAAGTAAATATAAAGTATATTAACGGCTTTCAAAATTTAAGGAAAACAAATATTTAGCGAAGTAAAAAGAAAATATGGCATAAGTCAACAGCGTGAATGTAGAATTTTGCTTTAACTTAAATCGCAATCACCGCAGATGTCGAACTGAAAACAACTTAATTGGAATATTTAGAAGTTTGTTGCTCCTCTTATCAGTATTTAAACAAAGTGCTTTTAACTGCTTAGATCTGAAGTGTTAGAGGCTTCACGAAGGCGAAAGGCGAATTCGAAGAATTCGTAAGAAGATGTTCTCTCTCCCTTATAATTCGGGTTCTACAAAATATGTAAAGAAATTTGATAAAAATGTTAATGTGTTTGGAAGTTTGTGCAAATTTCAATAATAAATAAATGAACAGAAAATTGAGATTTGACGGCATCGAAACTATAAAGTGAAATGTTGATAGCTAATCGATTTAGACGGAACGGTAATCTTGTGAGCTTTTTCTCTTTCATATAATGGCAGAGTATGTGGCGTTGCAGTGTGTGCAGGCGAAAGATGGCTTCACGAGTTTGCATACCGCAAGACTCGACAGATTCAATGTTGGACGTTCCGGTGTTGGAGGCTCTCCAACGACGTCATTCAGATGCGAAACTAGGCTGTTCCACACAAAACTTGGCGCCATCAAATGGCGGTGCGCTTGCACCACCACGTAGCCCCGAATTAAGACGTCACTCAGATGTGTCGCCTGCGTCGCTTAAAGAATTGGAACGAGTACGCTATTGAATGTTTATGACATTTTTGTGCACATTTTTGTAAATGTTTCATTTAAGTTAAAAGGTAATAAAACACCCGGCGGTGATATGGATTGGCGTAAAGGTGGCCAAAGTATGGCACCTAGCCGTTCATCAAGTCCACCGCGTCAGGAGGAACTTAGTTTTGGGCCACCGTTATCCCGTATGGCATCACGCAGAGCTTCTCGTGTAGCTCGCCAACATAGCTACGATGACGATGGAAATACAAGTGCAGGTGGTACGGGTGTAGGTGTCGCCATGACAGATGTAGGCCTTGGCTTACCCAGCATGCCTCGAAGGTAAGATTACAAATATTTTTTTTTTCTAGCACGTATGTTCGTTAAAGTAGCAACCACATCCGACTTTTATTGTATCGGTCAGCTAAGCATAATTTTCTATAACAGCTCAAGCATATCAGATGGCCCTTTATATCCTACAATTAAAATATGGATCTAAATAACTTAATAAAAGTCATAAGATGTGGTTTTAGTTAAAAAGCGCGGTTAAAAAGGATTTCGAGTGTAATAGCGAACGCAATATTTTTTATAATTACTTGCATTTATAGAAAATCTGCATATGATGTGTTTGCTCCTGGTACTTTACAAGCGGCTACACAAGCTGCACAATTGCAGCGTTCTCCCGGTGACGGCAATACCATGGCGACGCAAATGGCTTTACCGGGCTCAAGGAGACCCTCATTTCGGGTGCCGCATGCCTCTGAGGATCTACAGAACGACGAAAGCCCAAGCCCAGACAAAGGCAGCCCAGTGTTAACCGTAGACGATGATCGACGCGTAAGACGTCGTGGTTCACAATTGTAAGCTGAAACTTCAAGATTTTAGAAAAATTTCTATAATCACTGTTGGACAATACAACGAAATTATTATAAATTTTCTTTATGATTTAACAAATGCAACAGACCTGATTTAGCGGCTTTACAATCCCGTGGTGCTATACCCACTACCATACCACCACCATTGGCTGCATTCACTGGTCCTAATTTAGAGGATTTAGAGGCACCACGTCGCCAAACCTCCATGGACGGTGAGGCCATTAAAATTGTTATACACGACGTAGACTCGGGACCTATATGTTCATCGAAACGTCGAATTGTTTTGCGTAAAGATCCTTCGGACAAAGCCCACCGCAGTAAGTTCCTCAAAAAAGCTGAAAAAAAAAATAAAAAATTCTTAAACTAATTGTTTGCTTTAAAAGCACTTGTATCATCCTTAACTTTTCCTTATGTGTAGAAATCGCTTCCTTTCGTTTAGCCCCATTAAAAATGAGTTAGCTTCTTGTTAGTTCTTGAGAGTATTTTTCTTCATTGGAAACTTTGCGTAAAGAAATTCATAAATATTTCCCTCCAAACAACAACGAAACAACATGTTTTCCTTTTCCTTTTCTTTTTTTTTTTTTTCCTTGCTTTGACCAGGATTAACTATGCACAAGACTTTTGAGGTATTGAATGTACACGCACATGCATGTGAAGTACACACACGCATACACATACGCACACATGCGCACGGTTGTAGTACACTTAAACATGGGGCGCTGTTATATCGGAATAAAGTGTTTTTCTTTTCAACCACTAGAACAATTGTCAAGTTTTTTGCCCAAATTTTGATTATGTCATGCGATAATTTTTCGGTCTTCATCTCTTTTGCATACGCATTAGAAGGAAGGAAAGAGGAGCCAATCAAGAAAACAAACTGTAGTACGAGAACTCTGCTTTCAAATGTTAGCTCTTCATATTAGGATATGCTGCCCTGTGAGCTCATAACAAAGTTTCCGTTTTTCCGTTATTGAAATATTTCATCAGAAAATTTCCTTAATATAAATTCAAAGGAGAGACAATTTGCTAATAACCTTGTTGCACTATGTGCGTGTGTCGCTGGACAAAGGACAGCAGCTTACACTCCCCCCGAAAGGTTTCATTAAATTTCTCCTGCAATTTGTCAAACGGTCGTGTGTATGTAAATTCCTATAGACAATGGGTGTATAATGTATGGCGCTTGCTTTCACGGTGAATTTTATCAGCCTACTAACTATATATTTTCGGTTTATCTGGAATGAATACTTAAAAATTTTCAATTACGTCAGTTTTCGACGTATTTTCGATTCAATTTGATTTGAATTGTCTTCTAATTCCTTTCAATTTTCAAACGCACTTTTTATTCAGTTCTTGTTCGTTCTGAGAGTCTTTATAGGTCAACTAGGGTGACTATTAGGGGATCACGACCATTTGCATATTTGATTTTGATTATCGAGTAAATTCTCTTAAATGTCATAATGCTACTGTCTATCCATCCATATCTTTGCGACCATAAGCAATCCAAGCTTACAGTTACAAGCGCAATGGAAAATCCCCCCTTGATATTATATACGGACGTACGCTTTCTTCGAACTCACTCTCAGTTAGCTATCACTAAATCATCGAGAACATATTGAATTTATTGCAAATGTGTGTGTTTGCTATTTATGTTTACATTTAATTAAAATTTAACGTTACACCATAAGCTCATCATTTACTTATGTAAAAATCATATACTATTCTGTGTAGTAGTGTTTCATCATTAAATAGTCTTTGCCCTAAGTTATAAAATCATATTCAGAAAAATTACTTGACAGGAACGAAATCTTATTTTTAAGCCATTGTAGTGAAGTAGGCGGAGATGATCGAGAAAGCATGTTACCGGGTTTAGGAATAATGAAATAGTCACAAAAAAAGCCCAAAGCCAAAGTTTCTTCTTTTTTTTTTTTTGCATATTCAAAATGAGCTTAATTTTTCTTAAAGTCCTTGAACTACCAGATTCAACGTTTTGAGGCAAAATAGGCAATAATTTGTGTCTCCATATCGCAGGAGTATATTGAAATTTTCAATATTCAGAACAAGTAATATGCAAAAAATAAAGAGTTGTTTTATGTGCTGATTGTATTATGGAAATTTCACGTTCCAACCAACGAACGCTTCATAGCCATTGACAAATTTAAAAAAGGTTCATATACTATACTTTGTTAAGGGATTTACCCAACTTGAGATATTACATATTTATGTCCTGGTGATGATAAACTCTCCATGAAGAAACCAAAGCGAGTATCGGAAGGAGGCTGCTTATAGATATCTTTTCTGCATACTATTTTATAGGTTGGTTGATGCACTTTTTGAACGACCTGTACAGATTCTGATAGATCTGAGAAAAGAAGGTAGGGCTAATCTAAATGCAAGGATGATTTTCAGCTACGTAATGCCCAAATATTCCAAAGTATTTAGCCTTAAGTTAATAGAAATTCCGGCATTCAGATAGATAAAGGCGAAATATCCGGTGCCGAGTAGTCACTCGCAGTTTTAATTCCTCGAGAAATGTATGTGTAGAGAATCTCTCCTACCTAACTATGAGGAACGGTCCGTCAGGGAGTTTCGTGGTGACTGTGACTTAAGAAAAATCGCCGAGAGCGTTGAATGTTGCGATGCCAGGTTAATGAATTAGATCAGAGTAATGATACCGGTTCATTGACAGTTATCTATTGTTGGTTATCGTGACATATTTAGCCCGTGTGTCATCGAGCACCGTGAAATTAAATAATATATACAAACGCACCTTTCTATCTCCATTCCAAAATAAATTAGGCCCTATTTTGAATATCGTTTTCGTATCTTTGATTTCCGACAGCTGTCGCTGCTGAGCTCAAGACGCATTCTACGCGATATATTCAGTAATATGAAAGTGATGAAAATGATGTTTTGAGTTTCAAGTACAATATTGAAACCTCTTGTTATGTGTTACTCAAGAGGCAGAAACTCATACATTGTGCGCTTTAATAAACCAAAAAAAAAAACATTACAGATCGTTGATTACGGTCAGCGATGCTATCATTGTTACCATTGCTGAAGTCAGGCAAAGCTTTTCTCCAACAGTAACCTACAAAATGGATGGCGATCGTGAAAGATTGGGCATAAGTCGAATATTAGCAGAAAAATTTTCTTCCTGTGGAGCTATGAAAAAGGAAAACCCTGATGAACTGAATATGAACGCAAAAAGATGAAAGCCAACTAATATTAGTCAGGAATACATATCCACATCAGAGATCCATAAATGTGCAGATATCTGCACGGAAGAGTGAAAGTGGCTACCCCAGCTTTGGTTATTTCTTTTTTGATTAGAAAATATATTCTTATTGCGCTTACTTATCAATATTATTATTGTGTAGACGCGAATTTCAAAACTTTACTCAAATATCATTTAAAGTCACAAAGACTGAGGCGGAGAGGCGCAGTGTGCTTGAAATTTTGAAAAATTACATTTACTTCCGATGAATATTTTTTTGCAATCCTAACTGAGTGTCTTTGTTTTTTATTTTTTCCTTTGTTGCAAATATCGCACAACGAGTTCTCTGACGTTTTAATAGATTACAATTTCCGCTATTAGTTTGCTTATTGTCAGTCTTCGATTTCAATTGCTCCACAATTCAATTAAATAATTTGCTTTCTTTCTCTCTCTCGTGCAGTGTCTTGGTGCCTGAGCTTTGTGTTTCAGTTCATCTTCCAAAGTGAAAATATCCTGAACACAGCATTGAGATAGCGGAAATGAAAAACTATTAGCTGAAAAACAGAAAATTGATGATACAAAAAATTGTACTCTTTCAGCCGGATAGTCTATTTAAAAAGCAGATGATTTAAATAGATACGAATGTCATGTATTCGTCTTAAGGACAATATTGAAAAGTTTAATTTTTTTTTTTTTTTTTTTAGCTGAAATATTTGCCATCGTCCGAAAATATAGTTTGCATTTATAATTTGAAATATTTACTAATTTACTTAATGATGCATCTTTGTTATAGTCAAATACGCCGAGCCAAGGGACTAAAGCAAAGCAAAATGCTTTCATTTAAGATAAATCATGCTTTAGTCCTTAGTTTGGTGATGGGAATAATTCAGTCTTGTTTGTTATTTCGTCTATCTGTCTGACTATCAGCATGTTTCTTTTTTGTCTTAATTCTGTTAAACTTTTAAAAATGAAGACAGAACGTCGAAAGTTCATCTTTGAAAACTAGGACGAAAAGGCAAGAGGACCAAAAAAGACTTAAAACCAATGAAAAATTTCAAAAAATTTAATAAAAAAAAAAATAATATTGAATCTTATAATAGAAACACAATTAATCAGTGTCAAATATTAAGATGTATATAAATATGAACTGATTGCATGAGTAAAATAGACCAATTTTTTTTATATATGCGAGTATAACAATCACACGTCACTCAATAAGTCTTCAGTCCGACGCACATATGACAATACTTATATGACAGACTTATACGATTTCTGGAAAAGTAGCCGCCTTTAAAGCCACAATTGTTTTAGTGATGTCATTTTTATAATTTATATAAAACAATGGCAAAATCCGAATCTCGTGCATTTATGTTCGACGCTTTTTGATAAGAAAAGATACCGTTCACAATCGCTATTGGCTTTAAAGATCTTAAACAATTGTTGTCTGCCGAAAAAAAATTAATTTGTAGGTGATTTGTATGTTTGTTAATCGCGTATGTTGTCGCGTCGTATGGACGTAAGTGATGCTGAAGTCGCCAGTCCCCCAAAATCGTCACTTGTTCCAGAAATGATTAAAACAATCATTCTAAAAGACGGGAAACTAATACTCCATAAGTTAGCTGACACCTTAAAAATTTCATAAGTCAATGTATTTCCTATTTGTCGCGACCATAAGAAAGCTTTGCTCGAAGTGGGTGCTGCATCTGCTCAGTCTTGACAACAACGTGTTGATGATTGAAAGCGCTGTTTGGCACTGTTCGATGGTGAAATAAAAAGAATTTTTCCATGTATGATATTTGACAATGGATGAAACATGGATGCACCGCTGCACTGTTGAGTCAAATCGACAGGCAATCTAATGGATAAAAACAAAAGCGACGCAAGAAGTACTATAAACTAAAGCAAAAAAATAAATTAATTTTCGAAATGTCACGAAATTGTGACATATATAGTTTGAAGGCAGGTGCTAACCCAAAATCATATGGGTTTGTCAAAACTCTTGCCACATATATTTGTTAGAGCTAAAACTTATTAAGTCATGTGATAAACACCGACGGCTGGTAGTAAAATGAATAATCCTGTTTCGCGTGTGAAACGCTCACAATCACGTTTGTGCGTAAAATGGGATAAAAGGACTTTTAGTTATATTTAAAATTCTTAAAAATCTTTTCTTTTTCATTAAAGCACAAAAGGTTGCTCTAGGTATACTATACATAGGTCGAGCAATGAATAAAAGAATTTTTTTTTAAATTTAATTTCCTTTATTCTTTTTGTATTTTTTCCTTTTTTTTTTTTCCTCTTTTTTTCTATAATGTATATTTCTTTGTATACATTGCCACACATATTGCATTAACCGCTATTTTGTACGTACTGCGGCATGCTCGTTTTCTTGCTTCGTTAACACATCGCATCGATCATAAAAAGCACGCGGTTTTGGTATGCGAGTAGTGGGTGGCAAAACGGGTGCCGATGGCAGACTCTTTGCCTACATTGTCTGGACAGTGCCCGGAGGACCGGCTGAAAAGAATGGTTTACAACAAGGCGACAAGGTAATTGCGTTATTGCTTTATATAATTTTATATCGCTTTCTAACACTTAACAATTTGCCTTTTTTTTTTTTATTGTCAATATACACTACCATTATTTTCCTTCACATTTACTGAGTTTGAGCCTGTATGCATTTATTTATGTTTTAAATACACAAACGTAGAATAGCAAATATATTTATACCATTCCCCACACACACACACACATATATATATATATATATACATATATATATATATACATATTATATATATATATATATATATATATAATAAATATCGCTCCGTGAACTTTTCAATTCGTCTAGTATTTCACACCTACACAAATGTATGCATATAAGCATATAGACACATAATCTATATATTTATATGTATGTATATAGACTAAAACTACTACGTGAAGTGAAAAATTCGCGGAGTGACATCTTTACCCGTAATCGTAACGCAATAAAAAGATTATTGTATGTAATCCGCTATATCCTAAAGTTTCATCTTCCGCATGACTACGTATGCAGCCGACCTGTCAACAGCAACGATAGCAGTAAAGTAAATGTATCACTAAAATATTTCAAAATGAAAAATGGTGAGCATCGTATACAGTGACTAAACAAATTCTGTCTAAATAAAGGGACGCGCGAAAAGAATGAAATTACGTAGTAAAGTACTGTGGAAAACAGTGCACGGAAAACAATGACTTGGAAGTGGCCAAGTCTGTCTTAAGGCGATCATGCCAAACCTGAATTACTTTTCTCATTCTGCGCATCTAACAGATCGCTCTTCTTTCTTTTTACTTTTGATCAAAACTATGCTTTAGTAAAACTTGTTAATCACGGCTTGAAACTTTTTGGAAAACAAACAAAAATTTGTGTCTCTTCAAGCGACGCAGCTTCTGAATTGTGGCAAAAAAGAGCAGAGAAGTCTGGCCTTCATTTTTGGGCTTAAAACTAACTAAAGAAGATTCGGAAAATGTAAAGAAACCTATAGATCAACTGAGCAGGTCACAAACATATTTTTTACATAAAATAAATTTGAAAAATTTTTCCCAAAATTCTGAGCAATACAGTCGCGCTAAATAAAAAGGATTATAATATATATTCTGAATGGATAATTGATCCGCCACATGCATACGATTAAATTGTATCGAAAGTTAAAGCTGTCCACCTACCTACCTACTTACCTATGCGACTTGTTTTCTTCCCATCTTTGAAATCGATCTAGTAGTGCAATGAATTCAAATCAAGCCATTATTTTTCTTTCCGCTTTGTCAGTTGTCAGATGTTACGTTGTAACATCAAGCAGACAATTCATTGATGACTTGTAGGTACCCATTCTCTGCTGTACTGGCGAATTGAAATCTCCGTGATCCCGGTAACGTGAAATGTCCTGCTTGTAATTTTACCACTTTTCAGTTTAAGTTCGTATCGTTGCATTACGATTCAAGTCTCATTGCACGTCTGACTTTGTCTTCCGCAAGTATTCTGCTTAAATAAATTTTTGTAAGCCAGTTACCGGCACGCAAGTTTATTATGATATTTTCGAGATTATTCCCTTCAGCTGTAAAATGTATTGCGAATTTTGTTAATTCTTTCACCAATAGCCAGGTGCGTCGGCAAAGACAGCATTGTGAATGTGTAGTTTTTGAATTTGGTTTCTTAGAAAACCGGTTTAATTTCATCCAGACTCACTTTATTAAATATACGATTGATGCAACAGGACAGGCGAGAAGGTAGCGTGACAGCCAACGTAACAATCAAATATTTGAAAAAGGCAATGGTTTTGAGCCTTGACAGTGGAACTTAACTTACTTGAATTATGCCAAAATTTGCGAAGCATTGATATTATGATTTTATATGGAACGTGACTAACAACTCCATACTCGTGCGTTCAAACCTCACGTGCTTTAGAGTTTTCAATCATCTAAGGTATACGGCAGCCTTTAAATGGATACTTCGCAAAGTTATTTACAATATGTATACAATAAATGAAAAAAAAATGTTTGGATAAAATAAAAACAATTATTAAAGTCTTTCTTTCCGTCGTTGCATGACTGTGAAATCATTTCAATAAATTTTCCCGAAGCTTGAACGCTATGTCTTTTTATAATCTTTACACGTTTTGCTCTTTTGTAGATCTTGGAATGGAATGGCATGTCATTGATCGATCGCAGTTTTGAAGAGGTCTGCAGTATAATGGATCATACAGGCGACATGGTGGAGCTGTTGGTAGAACATGCAACTGATTTTCGTATGTGCGACTTGTTTGATGAAAATTTGCCACCTGGCAATAGTGGTGGCAACGATAGGGGTCCACGCCGCTCAGGTGATGGCCCAATAGGCTTGGGTTTAATAGCCGGTAAGTTCAAATTATATCCAATTGTCTAAAAAGAAAAGAAAGTATAAAGACGAACATTATATTTCTATATACATATATATATATATATATTTGACGTAAAAAGAAAAAAGAAAAAAAAAATTGCTGAACGACAAATAATTAAATATTTTTTCGCAAAATTCCATTTTCCGTTTCATCTAAAAGACAAAAATATGAAAGGGTTTTTTAATTTCTTTTAATTGTTGTTGCTGTTATTTCATTTGTTTATTTTCTTATTTCAATTTTTTTTCTTTTTATTTTTCTCTTTATTAAAACCAAAAACATGCTCCACCACTCTATCAAAACACAATAAAAATTCAACAGACCCCGAAACCACAACAGACAAATCACCGGCCTCGCCGACCAGACGGAAGTTACCAAAAACTCCGGTATAAAAATGTTCCAAATTAAAAATTCTCAGTATTATAAAATTTATAATTATTCTCTGATACAATTATAACAAAACAAACGCATGATTAAATGAAATTAAATTTTAATTTTTAAGAAATTAAAAACAAAAAAAAATGTCATAGATTAAATTACATAAACGAAAAAAAAAAAAAAGAAAAAACAAAAACATGAGCAAAACATTTTAGATCGAACATGTATTAAAAAAAAAAAAAAAAAAAAAAAAAAAATAAACATATATTTATATATATTTATTAAAAATAATTCATGAAATCGCTTTGAAAAACTAATCTTTTAAAACACAATTCAATTCAACTTTATATTTATATTTATTTTCGAGCTTCTTTTTCAATTCTCGTTCTTCTTTATGTAATCCTTAGTGAGTAGCATATTTCTTAAGCACTTTTCTTTTCATTATATGTTCAAAAAGCTTACTTAAGATATGATTTTTTCTTCGTCCATTTTTACTCTATAATAAGTATTTTATTGCAAATTTGTACTTGTACTTTTCTAAACATTAGATTTCGCTACATGTTTGTAGTTGATGCCTAATTGACTTCATCATAGAGTTAATAATTTTGTAAACATTGAATTTCTTTCTCTATTATTCTAAACTCATCATAATAAGTTGTTGTAAATCATTTAAAAAAAAAAAAAAAAAAAAAAAAAAAAAAAAAAAATTAAATTTTATTTTTATAAATAAAAAAAAAATTTTAAAAAAAAACCATATGCGTAGTATTTCAAAAGAATTTCCCTGTATACGCCACAGTTTGTTCATGAGACTCTATAAGAAAACTTTCTTAATGCTTTTCTCTAAAAAAAATATGCTTTTGGTTGCCCAGTTCTGTATTGCGATTTCTCTATAAGCTCTGCTGAAAAGACACTTGAAGAATTAATTCTATATTTTATCGTTTGAGTATGTATGAACTTTGTATCGTGTAGATGTGATCTAAATTAAAATATAATGTGATCGCTTTAGGGCGAGGATCCTCAAAAACCCATCACCTAAACTTAGACTATCAAACACAGTTTGTGAAGCGCTGCGAGAGTCTGAACTTTTGGAATTAATTTAACGTAAGCAAAGGGAGGGAAGGGTGTGTGTGTGTGTCTGTGTGTGTGTGTGTGTGTGTGAGCAAAGAACATGTCGTTTACTCGAATCAAATCGTACGTACAAAAGAGACCGGAAATCAAATACTCCGATACGTTTAGGTGGTGGGGAATGCAGTTACCATTTCATTTTGAAACAAGCAAATAATCCAATAACCTTTTCATGCGTATTGTAATGAATATATGTAGTTATAGCACATCAAAATATTTTCATCTCTTCTTCTCTTTCTATATACGTGCATGATATTGATAATGAGTACTCAATGTACTCATTTACATAGATCACATGAAATCTATAAACAAGAAGCAAAATTTGGCAATTCTTTAAACATGCTACTGTAGGAATATTAAGAGTAAAAACTAAACAAGTTTCAGTAAAAATTTACGAAATTTATAAATTTGAAAAAAAAAAAAAAACATAAGAAAGGCAGATGGGAATTAGTAAAATAAATCCTTTAATATAGTAGTACTTTCATATTTTTTCAACCTCATCAAATTTGAATTACATGAAATTAATTGAAAAAGTAATATTTTAATAATAATAGTAATAACAATGATAATAATAGCTATAATAATAATAATAATAATAATGATTATTCTATTGTAGTAAAAACTACGGAATTTTACTATAATCGAGGCTGAACGCTCACGATGCTCCTTGAATCAACTACAATGGTTAATTGCAAAATGTAGTTCATTCGTGGGTTGCCGGTGGGTACACGATATTCATCGATATTTTAATGAAAAGAGAGATGCTCTTATGACTGCCTAGACCGGGTTACACAGCTTAGTATAAAAGACAAAGAGAACTTTGACTTTTAATTTGTACTTGGAAGGATATACAGAAGTGCTTTGTTGTACTCTGTAGGTTATAGGCAAAGAATAGCATATTGGCGGCAAAACCTAAACAAAAAGTCTTGCAATAATTATCATCTTTCAGAGCCATTGATGAGCTCAAGATTTCTCAAATGAAGAAGAAAATTAGTGTATCTCTCATCCTATTAACCAATTTGCTTGAATAATTGTAATCTTATTTTTAAAGATTTTAGGTATAGTTTTCTCGTATTATTAAGGAAGAAGTGTTGTTGATATTTTAGACGGAGTCAAACGCCCCAAACTCCCAAAAACAGTAAAGTATGTGGAATTGAGGTAAAGACAACGATAACATTTGACGCTTTGTTTTTTTTTTTTTTTTTAGGAGAAATAGATGATTGCGATAAGACGTAGGGAAAAATACATATACATTTTAGTTTGCACTTAGGCAACATTTTCTGATCAAACAAAACTATCCAAATACATGCATAATTTTTGAAAAGACTTTGCTTTTAATACAAACACAACAAAGAAAAAGCATATATCCGAGCTAATTTCTTGACATTCTGTTTGTAGAGAAATAATATCCACTGCTTCAATGCTTTAACTTAATTTATAATTTTGTATTTGTAGTAACTTTTCGAAATTTCACTTGCTCTTTCATGAATTCATTACCTTCATTAGATCTTTATTAATTAAACTCTAAAGCTTATATGAGTAATAGAAAAAATAAGAAAAAAAAATTTTAAAAATTACTCTCACGGTAAGAGCAAAGCACCAACATAACCTCAATTTTAAACATACTTGTTATATGTAGAAAAAATGAAGCAGAAAGTGTTGTCTTTCGGATTAACGTAAAACAATATAAAATTTTTATTAAAGAAACCTAACTATGCATAAGTAGATCTTTAGTAGCTTTAACAAAACAAAAAATTACTTTACATATAGAAGTACTTATATAATATTAATATTTAAATATGTACGTGTATATATGGTGAATAACCATTTAGTGTATGTTTGTCCCCCTTTCGCAAAGTGATCAAATTTAGATCAATTCAAAATCGTATAATTGTTTGAATGTTTCAAAATTACATTTATAATAATAACGTCCTTCTAGAGTTTTCCTAAGAGGAATGACCCACCTTGCCTAACTACAATAAAAAAAATAAATAAATAAATAAATAAAAAAAAAAAAA